CCCCCCCCCCCCCCCCCCCGTCCACATCACGATTTCGTGGAACATACCCACCCCCCGATACTGTTTGCGAACCCCCTGTTCTCTTGTTTTTTTCGGTTGTTGAGTAGCTTTGTGCGTCGGTGCCTCGGCGTGCGGGGTTCCGTGGTTGGGAAATGTTAGAGCCAGCGGCGCTGTAGCCGCCAACGCCAACGGTACAGTGTAGGAACTATGATGGGCGTGACAGCCTTCTACTTTGGGATGAAGCGTGATAGCTCGGGTATTGTATCTCTGGATGTGGCGTGGAAGCCTGGTGGCGTGATAACCTTGGTGTAAAGGGATAAGCAAGGACGTGGAAGTCCGGAAGGCGTGGCAGCCGGGTAGCGTGATAGCCAGGATTGGCGTGGAAGCCGTGGCGTGATAGCCGTGGTGGCGTGATGGCCGGGGAAATGGACTTGATTGCACACAGGAAGGAGGAAAAAGACAAGTAAGTACAATTACCATATGCACGCGTTGTAGATGATCGGTAATTCGGGTGGCTTTGTTCTTTGTGTTGGGAGCGTAGAGCGGGTAGCCCATGACAGGACATGGATGGGTAGGGACGTGTTAGGAAAACGTATTGTATTCTTCGGGGGCGTGCTCGCGCTCGTAAATCTGTCACGGCATCAAGCACGCGTCACGCTTGTCACGCTCAAACCACCAAACGGATCTCTCTGAACCTCCATCAAACTCTTCTCACTTCCAAGGACAGTACCCAGAAGTTCTCATTCCTCCGCTGTCATCACTGCAATTTCCGTACGTGCGTACCGAAGATATCCCGACATACACACTACGCTACGAGTACCCCGAATATATCGAATAGCCCCCTGCTCGTATGCATCTTTAAAGGAATGCCCGCCCGACGGTGGCTTGCCCCCTAGATGTAGTAGATGTAGATTCTGCCGTAGACACTCAACAACATATTCGCCTGATTGAGAGCGAAGTATCTGATTGAGAGCGAGAGCCAAAAAAATTGAAATTTCGGGTCCAGACGCCTCTTGCCATTTCTTGGCAAGTAGGGGACGGGCTATTCCAAGAAGCGGTGCAAATTGAAGGTC